CGGGGGGGGGGGGGGGGGGGGCAGGGGAATAGATTCCTTGAATCAAAAGGCAGCAAAAATTACTATTTCACCACAATTTTCTAAAATCCATTGGAGAGTGTGAAAGTAATTGTTTTTCATTTGCTGTCCCTATCAGACCAATCAGCACCAAGCTGTCCTTGCTAGAGCATTGTCGCCACACATAATCCTTAATTTGAAACTAACACAAACCAAAAGGTTTAAAATGGACTTGGTCTCTTTGGGGTGGCATAAATGGGCAGAGCTCATATCCGGTAAAGGCACTGTGGTTTGATCAAGTTTGCCAAGTGGGACGTGTCCCCGGGATGCTCTGCTCTACCTTTCTACCTGCACAGGCACGTGCCAGACACATCAACGAAATGCTGCCATCAGGAAAACATGGGCTTTAGAAACATTTCCACGGGGAAAACTCCATACTAATCTACAAGAGTAACAATTTATGTATATGGGAAAACACATCATTTTTAAAATTTAAGAATATTTAGCAAAGGCTAAATAGGTGGTACAATTCTAGAAGTCCTTACATCAAAACCGCTTGAAAGGCTGTTTAACCAGCAGTTCTTACACACTCTGCCCTTGACAGGTCAGGGGTCCTCGTGTCCTTCCTGAGCACCCTCGCACACCCCCCACATGAGAGGCACGTGTGATCCCAAATTATACATGATATGGTTTCTGCTCTGAGAAGTTCACAGTGCGGTAGAAGCAGTGAGACGTGTGAAGGACTGCCCCGAATCCCAAGGTGGGTGGGCTGGGATTGAGCACTGAGCACACTGTAAATGTGCAAAGGAGAAAAAAGGCTAGGGTGACATGAGGTGACCTGGGCCTAAATGGCACCTGGAACCTCAATAACATGGAAAGGGACAGATTAGCCCAGTGGTCCTCGACCGTTTTTTCATGATGGATCCCACCAGAGACAAAAATTAAATTCACAAGAGACACGAAAGAAGACTTACCCCTATACGGTTAAGCTTTGGAGGAACACAAACCATTGCCATATCAAAGAATGTTTCTCACTGTGACCCCCCAAGAATTTTTTGTCCCCGTGAGGGTGGTATCACCCTCACTGAGAATGCAAGAATTAGAAGCTAGTCAATTGAAGCCTAAGTGCAGTTTAAACACAACACCCCAGTGCAATACCTTCCAGGGTCGAGGTGGGTGCTGGGCCACCAGCGGGTCCGCACGTGTACAGTGGCCCAGGGCCACTGTAGGGCTTCTGCACAGTCAGCACGTTTGGAGACTCGACCTCACTGGTGCTCAAGAACCTGGGCTTGGGAGACAACACTGGGGACGGTGGGCACACACACTCCTGCGGCAACAGCGACGTGATACCTCTGACAACATGGTACTTGGGCAGGTCATAGCCTCTTCTACTATAGTTGGGTCCGGGCTGATCAAGGTCAAGAGCAACCACACTGGACTTCAGTCTTTTGGGAAGGGGCTCACCAAATTCCGCTGCAGCGCTGCCTGCATTCCGATTACAGAAATAGTCTCTTGCTGGAGGGGCCCACGCACTGTCATTCTTAGGGTAGTCAACGGAACCATTGATGTTACTGCTGCTGAGGGTGGGCTGAGAAGAGGCTACTGCTAGAGGTTTTAATTTCGTCTCAGGTCTTTTAGTTTTCTCCGGTGCAGGAGCAACACTGGTTTTAGAAAACATCTCAGACTGCTGCTGTCTGGTGGTGGTTAGCCCTTGGCCCCCGATGCTCTGCTGTGGCCTGTGTGACTTCAGGTTACTTGGGGCTAAAGTGCTGGAATCTATCCCTGAAGTCAGAGGGGCTTTGCCTGGCCCTGGGGGGCTCTGCTTAGCTTTCTCAGGTGGCAGAGACTTGGACTGCACTGGGAAAGCAGACTTGGGCTTGGGTTTATGGAAACTAGGCAGGGGAGGCACGTCTTTTCCCAGTAAAGCTGGTGGGCATCCGGTACGTCTGCTTCTAAGCAAAGATTTGTTTCTACAGTTTTTATGAATGTCAGGATTGTATTTATGCTCCAGTCTCTGGTGCATCATTAAAACTTCTGGATAAAAAGTCTTGAAGGTACAGAATGGGCAGGTGATACTTGGAATTAAACTTTTACTCAAAGAAATTGCTGGGCAACTGTGAATAGCCCCAAGGGACAAATTTAAAGGTTTTTCTTGACAGTCCCCGCTTGGCTTGAATGCGCAGTCTGCTGCGATCCCCACGTTCCTCTCTTTGTGGCCAACTTCGACACTGTGGGTGGTACTGCCATCTGCAGGAGGAGCAATGTCCACCTCTGCTTTACAGATGAGGTTATTTGCCTGAGGTTCAACCGCTGATCTTTTTTTTAACATGTCCATGTAAGCAGGGGTGGGATTTTTGCTCACTTTATCAGCACCATCATCAGCTGCATTTTTATTGAAATCCTGAGTATCTTTGTGTGCTGGTAAGAGGACAGTGCTGCCCAGAACATTCTGAAAGACAGAAGGTGTCTCCTTCAGCTGCTTTGCAGGTGGACTGCCTGTAACATCTTTGGCACCATCAAAAAATCTTTTCAAATTTTTGGTATGTGCACTGTCAGTGATTAATAGTGCATCTTCAGTCTCCTGATTTTTACCATCATTCTTGACTTCGGCAGCAACATCAATCTGTTTATCCTTGTGATGTCTCTCCAGGTGATAGCGCAGAGATGTCTTCTGGGCTGCAGCATAGTCACAAAATTCACATTTGTATGGTTTTTCACCTAAAACAAGAAACGTCACTGTATTACAGATGTTTATGAAGAAAAGCATCAAAATAGATCTTCGAAAACTAGAATCTATTGTAGAGAGAACACAGGGTTCTTTCCTTTTACTTTATCGCTAATCTTCAAATCCAGGCTTTCATATGAGTTGTCTGCTTTATAGCTTTAACTATACTAAATATTTTAACATGTGAGTACGTATCTTTAATTAAAAAATAGAACAGCAACTCTTTTAATTTATTTAATCTTCATAATAGTCCCACAGAAGTGATTATTATCATCCCACATTTATAGCTAAGAAAGCTGGGCACAAAACAGTTAAATGACTTGCCCAGTGATGCAGAGATAGTGAACGGAAGAGATGAAATTCAAATCCACGCAGCCTCCTAACCATTACATCACAGCTGCTTCTCCAATCTAAAGAAAAGACTACTAAAAATACTTACTTTCTTTTCATTCTAAATCATAAAAATACAAAAAGATGTGGCATTAAAAAATATTAGAGTTTTTAATAAGATTAGAGTCAGGATGTGGTAGTCATAAACTAAACAAGAAACTGACTTCAACGCAGGAGCAACAGTTCAAGTTCCAATGGCACTAAAAGAATAAAAGTGACAGTTGCAATTAGCACACACCATGTATCCTTAAGCTATCCCAAGGATCTAGTAGAATATTTGAACAAAATACCAGACAGAGAATTACCATCATAATTCTTTTAAATAATACATGCTTTAAAAAAAAAAAAAAAGTTCTTTACCTGTATGCGTTCTGAGATGAATATTGAGGTAATAATTTGAACGGAAAAACTTTCCACAATAACTACACTCTCTTGAAGATGCAAGATGCTTTATTTTTCCTCCATCATCAGTTTTATCTTAAAGCAGAAACAAAAATATTTACGTAAGAAGGCAGCTGAAGTACATGAATAAGGCATGTTGACTTAAATATTCTTGATAAAAACGTTTTTAGAAAGCATAAAAGAATTTTTTTACATAGTGTTGGGGTGGAACCAAAAAGGCTAAACACACACCAAATACTGTTTTGAAGTTTTCTAACAGGCGTGTATTCTTCTCCCCTGAGTATAGCAGAATGCACTATCAAAGATTCAGTTGTTTGCCATAATCACAAGAAAGATCATTTAACGGACTGAACTTCATGAGCAGCGTCCTGTGCGCTCAACATCTCTGCAAGAGCAGGATCTGCAAACCGAAGGTGGACAGACGTACATACTCGGCCGGAAAACCACCTTCTTCAGAATAAATCATTTAGAAAACTGAGCCAACAAAAACCATCAATTATCCCAACCACCAGGGGAAAAAATAAGCTTTGCATCTTAAGATTAAACAAGTTACCACTAGAGGGTAGCAAGGACAACTTAATCTTCAACAGGAAAATTAAAAAAAAAGCTTGGCACTGGGCAAACACCTAGGAAAGTTTGTCAAAATTTAGCAAAGTTTTGGAAAGCAGACTGTACTATCCATATGCATTCACATGGGAAAAATATATCTGACCAATCAAAATTGTCCCCAAATGACAATGTGTTAAACTTTAAACTTCCGTCTTCGCAGGATAACTAGGACAGTGTCTTACATGCAAAAGTCCACTGAGGACTCTGATTAAAAGATGATTAGACTTCAAACACACACCAAAGTAATACAAATTTAGGAAAACCAATTCCCTAAATATAGAATATCCAGCTTTGCTTCTTACAATCACACCCAACTAGCTTGCTCATATCTGGGTTTGTGCTTTGTTGCAATTTCCTACTTCCAGCTATGTATCAGGTATGTGATGGTATGTTGTGTCATATCCAAAAAGTTATGAAATGTCTTTATTTTAAAACAAAGGACATGAAATTTCCACATCAACCTGGCTCCTGCTCTTTTAGCATCAGCTCTGACTTTACAGTGTTTTTTTTAAAGGACTATGAACTTTTTATAAATAGGCTGTTGAAATTACTCTTGGGAAGTGGAAGAATCAGTTTTGCAAACAGGGAAATCGGGGCAAAGAAAGATTAAGCAACATGTAATTGGTCACAAAACAATGCAGTGGTGGAACCAGAAATCTACGCCAAGTTGTGGTATTCCCACCTATGACCGTATCCTATCCACCTGATGGCGGGGCCCAAGTTCTCCACACCCCCTGCTAAGGACTGGCCAGTTCACGCCTTTCAGGGCACTGGGGCATTCTTTGAGTCCCCTAAACAGGACTGACAAAAGGAGGAGTCACTTAGCCAACTAGAGGTCTGTGTTTACAGCCTTTTTTTATTACGTCATTACGACACCATAATGTGTTTTTCTAGATTTCTGAAAACTAAAGATTCGCAGTATGCTAAGCACTAAGTTTCCTGTGTCCTAGAAAACTCAAAACATTCTAAATATTTGATAGGAAAATTATTGCTCTTATGTCAATCACATGATCAGAAAAAGAACTGGGCACTGGCTTAAGAGCAAATGAAGAGTCCAATACTGTGCAGTCAAATTCATCGTGGTCTCATACAAAGTTCTTAAGACATTAAACACAGAGAGAAAAGTTACACTGAAAGAGTGAGAAGGTGGCATTTGTTTTAACCAAAAACCCTTTTGTAAATGATAATGTTTCTCTAAGACTGAATCATGTTCTCATCACTCACTTCTTAATTATGTCCTACACATTAGGGGATTTTAAAACTGTTTTTAAGAAGCAGAATTTTTTATCCAAAATTTTAAATGAACATGAGAAGCTCTGATTCAAGTGAGGACAGCAGAAGGTGGCATTTGTTTTAACCAAAAACCCTTTTGTAAATGATAATGTTTCTCTAAGACTGAATCATGCTCTCATCACTCACTTCTTAATTATGTCCTACACATTAGGGGATTTTAAAACTGTTTTTAAGCAGCAGAATTTTTTATCCAAAATTTTAAATGAACATGAGAAGCTCTGATTCAAGTGAGGACAGGCAAGAGTTGAAACACAGGTGGAATCCTGTGCCCTAGAGAATGTCCACTGGGGCCCAGGAAACACAGTATGGGTAAGTCTTCAATGACACCTTCTGTTTCTAAAAATGTCATTTAGTACAATAAACATTTTACTAAACAACTGAGATTTCTTAAAACATCGTTGCTGTGTTCACATTCCCTGTATTTTATGAACAAATTGTTTGGGTTAACTGAGGTATTTGTTAACGGACATGAGCTTCCCACACGCCAAACAGCATCACTAGTCATTCCCAGTGCCTTTTGTGACCACTGGAAATCCACTTGGAATAAATGAGAACTGGGCCTTGACAGATATGGAAGTCTACTGAATATAAGGATAGCTTTTTTTTTTGGATAAGATCAGGAATGCCAAAAAACTGAAGTGAAGGCCAAGGTCTCTCAGTTTTGACAGTATTGAACATTTGCTACCAGATTATTCTTTGATGTGGAGGCCATCCTGTGCATTGTAGGATATTTAGCATAATCCCTGGCCTCTGCCCACTGCATACCAGCAGTGCGCACACACGCACACCCCCACAACCAAAAACGTCTCCAGTCATCACCAGATGTCAACTGGGGGCAAAATCGCCCCAGTTAAGAAACATTGCTTTGGGCTGATGCACAAGTTGTAAAAATGCATGTCCTTTGTCAGCAAAATATAAAATCGCAGAATTCTCAGAACAAGGAGAAACCTTGACAGGCCTTTTAACTCAACTCTGTTATTACAGAAATGAGAAAATTAAGGCCCTGAGAGATTAAGTGATTTACAGGGTGATCCCACAAGGAGCCTAGCCTTGCCCCAGCTCTCCAAGCCCCACTCCCTGCCCAAGATGTCTGGGATGCGAGCAGAGTGGGAAACAGCAACTCACCCAAATGAAGCCCTTCAGGAAGCCCATCCTCAGACCCATCTTCAGAACCTCCTTCTCCTCGATCCATGGCTCCACTTTCATCCAGAGGGGTGGTCAGGTCTGGAGAGCACGTCCCAAGCTGCCTTCCATCGACGGACATGGTTGGCGATGCGGCATCTGTCCTCCTGTCCTTCTTGTGCACACGTGAGTGCAAGACCAGCTGGTGGTAGGTTCTGAAGGCTTTGCCACACTCAGAGCAATGCGTCGGCTTCTCTTTGTTACTGGATAACTTGGCATCCGCATCCACAGAAGGCACTTCACTGTTGGAGTGTCTGGACTTCTCTTTATCTTGCGAGAGGCCTGGACAACTGCTTTTGTTCGTTTTGGACTTGCCAGAACTTTCTGAATGGCTTTTACCTGCATTCCAAATTTCTCCAAGTTCTTCTTTCTCTGAAGACGAATCGTCATTGTCAGTACTCCCTTCTTGCCCAGATTCCTTCACTTCTTCTTGGGCAATGGCAACTTTGCCTTTGGTGGCCAGTTGCCAGGCCTGATAGGTGGTGAATGGATCAAGCTGAGGTATCGATTTGACGGGCTTCTTCACGGTTTCAGGATGAGATTTTGGTCTTAAGTTTAAAAACTGCAGGAACTCTTCCCTCGGAGATGGCATGCCCTGTTGTCGAGAGAGTGTCTGCGTGCTGCTGGTACCGGAAGCAGCTTCTTTGGTGTGCATCTTGCTGTGCTCAATTAGACTTTCTTTATTTGGAAATAGGAAGCCACAAACCATGCAGATTTTGTAGGGAGATGAGATGCTCTCGGCTGCATGTGCCTGCACAACCTCATTGATCGTTACGGGACTCTCCAAGCTCTGCTGCAGTTTGTTCCTGGCCCCCGATTTGCCATTGTGTGTCCGCATGTGATTTTTAAGAAACCATGGCTCCTTGAATCTTCTTCCACACATGTTACACCCATAAGTGAAAGAGTCCTTGTGTTTCTTCATGTGAATCTCAACATCAAAAGCAACTCTAAACGTCTGCCCACATACTTCACAGCTGAAGTCTTCATTTTCTTTGCAATTCTTGTCCTTTGGAGATTCTGTTTGCATTTGACATTTATCAAGAGGACTAAGATACTCTGCTTCAACACGGAGAACTGCAGGTTCACAGAGGGTGGGCCGATGTTGCAGTAATACATGTTTATTAAGGTCTTCCGAATGCGTGAAGGTCTGATTGCAGAACATGCAGTCCAAGGGCAAATATCCTTCTATTTGGATTATATTTTTTTCCTGATTGGCTCTGAAAGGAACAGCCGTGGTCCCTTTTATTGACATGGCATCATCCATCTCCATCTGCGTGCCAAGAGAGTTGCCAATAACCTCTGGTCCGTCCATGTACACTAAGAGGGATTGAGTTGGCATGTTTCCTGCCACTTTAGGATTGTATATAAAATAAGAATCTCAAAGTTCCAGTGGGGAATTTCTGGAGTTGGAATAAGGCCACTTGTAAGACTTGTCACTCACACCTCCAGCAGCTCTGGGTTTCAAAACTAGAGCAAATATTTCTTATAAATGTTCAAAAGAAAGTGTGTATTTCTCTAACTTCTTATCTTCAGAAGTTTTAGGAGGCTTGTGGATGGAGACTGTCACTAGTTATTTCCACAGATGAAGCTTACAGACTCCCCTGCAGACTCCCCAATGCTTTGATTCAAATATGAATAAGCACAAAGCATTAGTTCTCTTTGTCTCCATTGAGTGAGTGATTCAATTGAGCAAGAAGTCAATCCCAGCAACCTGGAGACGAGATTTCCAAAACCTAGAGGAAAAAAAATAGAAACGGTTAGCTACACTCCAAGAAAAGACTGGCATGGGTGACTCACATGGTCTTTTCCATGCAGCAGAGACGGTACCCAATCCAGTTGCTTCACTTTTAACTAATATAGAGAGCATCCTGTTAAACACGCTTGTTAATTAAATCAACGGCATTTTACCCAGTCGGTACACTTATTAAATCAGTAGAATTTCACCCAGCTACAAAACTTAAGACCTGGCACTTCACTGATCTAAACCTAAAAAGTCTGAGGACAGAAATTGTTAAAATCAGCTGAGTATGTTTTAAATGCCACTTAAATGCACATATATATATATATATATCCTGTCTCCACAAATCTAGACTATAAGAATTGTTAAAAATAGGATAACAAAATTAAACCACTTTAGGTAAAAATTTAAAAGCCAGTGCTTGAAATTGTTTTATACACAAACCTACATAGTAGAAACACAAATGCCCAAAAGCACATTCAAAGGTTACACATACAGAGGCCAACAACAGAAGCACACAAAAATAGCAACCCTTCCTAAAATCCTCATTCAAGAAACACAGAACACCTCATCTTGATCACTCAGCCAAGGGAACCTTGATAAATTTCTGTTCACTAGATATCCTAAACCTCAATCCAAATCCCAGTTTGCTTTCAACAACTTTCTGCCTTCAGCAAGCATCAGGTAGAGCTTCCTAGTCCAAACAACAAATACATACATACACAAAACTACTTTGTGAATGTACACGTTTAAAATAAAATCCTCAATATAAATGTTTCAACATGGCTTAGTCTTTTATCAGAATATGGATCCTCTTATTTTTTAATCCACCTTTCACGTTATTCATTGGCCAGGTGGAAAATGGATTACTTTATTTAGCTCTTCAGGCTCTGATTTTGAAGCTAATTTTCACTCTTGGAGAAGAAATAACCTCTAAAGCCAGTATCTTCCACATTTATAGCAAGCACGGGAATTGTTTTTAATAGTCCCAACTACTTTAAAACTTAAATCAGTTAATTCTACTCAAGAAACAAAAAGATATGCAAACTACTCCCACCATAGTTAATGTGAAGGAAAAAAAAAAATCATACGCCACTTTACCTCTCTCCACTTCCTCAAAAAGCAAGGCCTGTAGGCTCAGAAAAGATGAGGAAAAACATCTCTTCCTCTTCTTTACACTCATAAAAAATAAAATAAAATTCTCATACTCCTTGTTATCTTTTGTTTTGAATAAACCAGATCTTTAATATTAAGCTTTTCTAAATAAGACTGCAGATGAACAATTAGGGTAAAGAATGTACTGCAGTGCTTTATCTTAAGTTCTCAATCTTGTCTTTGTTGCAATCACAATGGAGGATAAGGACATGGGCTGGTTACCAGCCTACTGTGATATAGCAGAACACTCCAGAGACCTGAGTTCTAGTCAGGCTAAGTCACAACCTTAAAGGTGTCACCGCCACGTCCCTCAACTTTCTGTATCTATTTAATGCAGTAGGTTGAACTCTAGGATGGCTCTTACAGTTCAATGACTCTGCTAAACCAGGATATTAAATCATATTTGAATATGGGACTGACAATTTAGGTTTCTATGTGGTCATTTACTCATTAGACAAGTAATTACTGAATGCCAATGTCCCAGGCAATGTTTTAAATGAAGAATTAACAGCACATATTCTAGAAAAGCAGTTATCAAATTCGGACAACACTGTTTTTACTGGCCAATAGCTAAATGAGAAACTGAGAAACAATTTTATGAGCGCTACACAAAGCCAAATGGATTAACTTCAGTTTGAATAAAAATTGTCATTTATTTGCAGTCTTTCCAACTTTCAGGTGCTAAAACACCCTTTAAAAAAAAAAAGACATAGTAGCAATAGCAAAGTTTTTTTTTTTAATACCCTTATTTGGCAAAATCAAAGAAAGTCTCCATCTCGGCCTCGACTTTTTTTTCCCTGAGAAATGTGGCTAATCTGTGAAATTATTTTAATTTTGAGAATTCCACTTTTCTAGTGACTTCCTTTCCAAAAAAAGACACCAACCCTACATTCGACCTCTGGATTAGAAATATGGATGTGGATATATCCCTTTTATTTCCCACCCAGGGTAACAGTATAACTTAGTTACTGAAAATACTTATCTTAAAAAGATTATTTGGTTCCAATTTTATCTCGGAAATTTTCAAATATATGGATAAAACAAGTCACTATCATTTTCTAACACAAGACCTTCTTCTTCTTTTTTTTTTTTTTTTAAAAGATGACCGGTAAGGGGATCTCAACCCTTGGCTTGGTGTTGTCAGCACCACGCTCAGCCAGTGAGCGAACCGGCCATCCCTATATGGGATCCGAACCTGTGGCCTTGGTGTTATCAGCACCGCACTCTACCGAGTGAGCCACAGGCCGGCCCACACAAGACCTTCTGAGATTATTTCAGTGGAGTGAAAGATGATAAAGGAGGCACAGTGGGAAATAACCCCCAGAGAAAGAAGAGCTTCTCTTTGTCTGGTAGGGCGAACAGGATGGGAAACCCAAAGGTGAGGGAAGGGTGTCCCAGGCCAAGGGGTCTTCTTCTATAGTCAGATGGGGAAGGAAACCCTCCCAGCTTCCTCCACGGAAGCTCCTGGGACAGATTCTGATAGTCATCAGTTGTGTCCAACTGTCTGGAGTACTAGTACCTTGGGTCACAGCACTCCTGCTCACCTCAGAGGTTCCTTCCCTGACCACTGCCCAGCACAGCCTACCCCCACTGCATTCTTCTTGTTTATCTGTTTGCTTGTAATTGTCTTTACCTGCCACCCCTTTAAAGTAAGATCTTAAGGAAAGAGACCTTGTCAGCTTGTTCACCACTGTGCCTAGAACAGGGTGCCTGGCACAGTGCTAAGCCCTCAACAAACACCTGGTGAATAAACATCACATAATTAGTACACGCACAGAATCAGTAGCATGTCTTCAGCCACAGTCACCAACCATAACTGATCTGATATTAAAATTAACTTGCATGTTCATCAAAACTTCTACATGGCAGTCATCTAATTACCTTTCTGCAATTTCAAGAGTGTATTTTTTTTTTTTAAAAAAAAAGGGCAGGCGGGTTAGCTCACTTGGTAGAGTGTGGTGCTGATAATACCAAGGTAAAGGGTTTGGATCCTCATACTAGTCAGCTGCCAAAAAAATAAACAAAATAAAAATTGTTTAAAGAATCATAATTTAATCATACCATAAAGTTGGCCAGCACAGGCAAAAACTGCACCACTCACTCTCCTTATTGTGACCCATCAAAACAAAAATGGTAGGCATGTTAGGGAAATCTCTGATGGCAAATGCCCTCAGTTCTTGACTTAGAAACTGAGGTATGTAGACAAAACACTTCCTTAACCTGTACAGCAATGAATAATACTTTAAAACAGGTCTACATCACTGCACACCAATTTGCTACACAAAAGTCTTTAGAGTGACTGCAATAATGAAGACTTTTACACATCGAAATTCATCAAAATAGAAATTCTAATCTAATTACTGTCTAAGAACAAACTGCCATTCCAACTGAAGTGCATGCACACACACACAGCCTTCCCAGAATGCTCCAGCTGTCTATACTCAGCACACAGAAGCTAACAGTGAACTAACTGAAGGGGATGCTGATAAGGAAAATTGTCTTTTTTGACAAAGAACTGGAGCGGGGAAAGAAGAACACCATAATCCAACACTACTATCTAAATGCTTTTAGTTTGCAAGAAAGTGAACATTCTGAATACACTAAGTGTATGAAAAGGCACTTCGCAAAAATGTTTTTCAACGCTTAAAAACAGTTTCAAATCTTTACTAGGGTAAATTACAGCACTTAACCTACAGCTGTATACCCCAAGCACCTAAGGCAAGTGGTTATTCAATATAACCTTGTATTTTGAGAGAATACTAGGGTTTAATTTATATTGTGATTACTTAAGTAGATAGTTTTGTTTTTGTTTTTTTTTTTTTTAATTTACCACAATATAATCTCTGAAATCCAGTAAGAGCCATATTGCTAGTTTTTGTTTTTTTTTTTTTTAATTTACCACAATATAATCTCTGAAATCCAGTAAGAGCCATATTGCTACAACTACCTAAAATACACATCTCACATTCTTTGGGTCACTAGTTAGACAGTGATTTGTGACTAAAGCTACCGTGAATTTTACCACTACCTGTAGATCTTGAAATCAGCAAATAGTAAACATTATACAGTGCTCAATGGGAAGCACAATAATCTGTGCTTAAGTACAACAAATTAGGCATGACTACCACCTTGCTGACTATTGCTGTAACTTAGAAATACTGTTCTTTATATACAGAGGTACTCCAGCTGTGAACCTTTAGAGACAACACATCTCTGTTTCAGCTGAACAGGTTATCTCACATTCTTCATATGTAATATTTACTACCATAGTATGCAGCAATAAGGTATCCCATGTCCTCAAAAATGGTCAAAAACACATAAAATTCTATCTATAGAGAAGTAATTTGCAACATATTAGGGCATAAAAAGCCTCCTAAGCCCCCTACCTAGTATAAAATCTACTTTTTCCCAGGTTACTAAGGTGCCCAAATAAATAGTTATTAAAACATTCAGCTTAAACTGCTACTCTAGCCAATTCATTTGTATCCTTAAAACTACAAAATTATCTCTGAGATCTGACTAGGAAGCTAATAGTTTTTCTATAAGTTTTTGTCCTCTATATTTTACACATACTATTTTTTTGTGATCTGACAAATGGAG